CCGCTCCCACCGGCCCTGGCTGCACCAGAGATTTTTACGGTAAGAGCCTTGTCCCAGGGTGATTTCCGGCTCTCCAGGGAGGGGAGATGGGGTTGGGCTGCAGACCCAGATGAGATGATGGATGTGGAGGTGTAAGCCTGAGACGATTCAGGAGTGGGTCCTTTGGCCGTGGAGGGGGACAGGGGTGCCCCACAGAGCCAGGACCCCTGGGGCAGGAGGTGTGCGTCCTCCTGTGCAAAAACACAGGTGTGACTTGCTTTGCACACCCAATGCCATGTTTGACATTTTGTGGCTGGGCAGTTCCTGCCTGTGCCAGGACAACTCTCCTATTAACACCACTTTTCTCTTTTCCCAGGAGGCCCCTGGGCCAGCACTGGGGACAGGCAGCCACAAAGTCCCCAGCCACTCCCTTGGCCCCTCCAGCCTCCCTCTCACCCCTTTTGCAGCCCTGGAGGACCCTCCTCCTGCTCGGGAGCCCCCAGCACAGCACAAACCTTCCCGAAGGTGAGCTGAGAATGGGGCATGTCCCCACAGCCCTGCTCTGGCATTCCCTCACTACATTGGAGTGTGAAATCGGGGCTTTATTAACTGTGTGATGAAGGAATGGCAAAATATGTTAACAGCTGCAGGGGTGGAGTCTTGGGACTAGCTGTGCCAAGGCAAGGGGGAAGCATACAGGGTCCCTCCTGGCACCAGAAAGGCTCTGAGCTTTTTGGCAGCAGGAGAGCCAGGCTGGAAGACAGGCTGCATCAGGCAGAGTCCATAGCCAGCAGCCACTGAGCTCCATGGCTCCTGACCCCAAGGACCATGCTCACACATGAACTCTCTCATCCACTGCACGAGGAAGGTTTGGGGAAGCAAGGGAGGGGACAGTCCTTTCTTTTCTGCCTTCCCACCACAAGCTTTTTCTAGGGGAAGTCTCACAAGCAGCTCACTCCTCAGCCCCAGGAACAAACAAAACCCATGGTGAGTTTCTCTCTGCTGTGGTGGGGCCATGCTGGGTGTTTAATAAATAGCTTCAGCAGCCTGTTGCTCTTTGCTTCTCACCCTACTTTTTGATGTATATAAGCACATGTACATTTGTCCCAGAGCAGCATCCCCTCCCCCCCCCAGGACACAAACGGGGGGCTTCTGGTCCCACAGATCCTCCATCTCCACAAGCTCCCCCATTCAGACCAACAGGGGTGAAGTCAAGGCTGAGCAGAGCCAATACCACACCTCACTTGTGTCCTAGGCAGGGACCAGGCAAGCTCTTACCAGCCTCCCCCAGCATGTTGAGGCTGCTCAAGGCTGCAGGAGCCACCACAGGAATCCACACCAGGCTCAGCCCAGAAAGAACCAGACACAGCCAGAACTATCGCCACAGCAGAAGGCAAGAAGGTCTGGATCCAGGGTTCCCCTAGGCAAAACTGTAGTGAATTTAATTCTTTTGCACAGCCTCCTGCCTCCTCAAGCCAGTCTGGAACACTGAGGAACCTCAGCGTTTGCAAGGGCTGAGACATGGACACGAGGGGCAGGGAAGAGCTTGTAATAGGAGGGTCAAGACAGGGAACATTTGCTTACAATCTTTATTGAAGTCATACAAAAGTTGCCAAAAAGTGAAAAAATACACTATATACAAAACCATTTTCCTTGTAAGGAGAGGAGTGTCCAAGTATCATACTGTGCTTTCAACTGCAGCCCCTGATTCTGCTTGTGGCCTTTTCTCTGTCTAAAAGAAAACAAAACGTTTTGCTTTTATACAAGACACTGCCTCACAGCACCAACTCATGCAGCAGTTGGAAGGTTTCTGCAATTTGAAGACTTAACTATTTGTGCTCTGCTGGTCCTTCAGAGCCCAACACTATCCTAAAAATACTGACATTAACAATTGTAGCCCAGGTAATAAGTATTAAAAACCAGCAGTATCAAAAGTAGTTTGGGAAGGGCCCCCTGCTGTGTAGTTCAGCCACACCGGGACACCCAGAACATGCTTCTGTCCCACCCCAGAGGTGACTGGCCTTCATGGCTGGTGCCTTTCCAGCCCAAAGGCACCACAGTACATGCATCATGCCAGCTGGGGAATACTCCCCATCTCATCTGGGAAGTTTTGTGAAAATCAGTATGTCTACCAGGCACAAAGCCATGCCTCAACAGAGGAAAAAGAAAAAACCCACACAAAAAAACCCCAAACCAAGCACAGCACAGACTCCTGGCTCAGCTGCCCACCTCCTCTTCCATTTTTTCTGCAACCTCATTTCCACTGGGAGGAGCATCACCACCACCACCATTGACAGCCGGCTCTGGTTTAGCTTTCTTAGCTTCATTGTCTCCCTGTTGAGTCTCCTCCTCTGGTTTCCTCTGAAGACAAAATTGTTTAGTCTGCACTATGTACAAACTGAAGTTTACATTCTTTTTTTCTTTAGAAAATTAGCATCTAGACATCATTGCACATTCTCTATTCACCTTGCCAGGCTCAAGACAGAAAGCATTAGGATTCAACCAAAGCTCTGAAGCTTTGGTACAGAGGTCTCAACCACAAAGGATTTCCAGCAAGACATGATTGAGGAGCTAGTATCTATAGTGCTGAATCAACCTGTTATATCTGGCAGGGAAACATGACTGCTACACCACGTCACTGTTAAGGGGGCAGATTTCAGGCATCTGTGACACTCGATCACCATATAAAACAGATCAAAGTTGCTCCAAGCAAACCTGAACTGCAAGAGGCAAATGCAGCACAGGCCAGGCTGTACTACAACAGCATGCAGAATAAAAACTGAGATCCCATAGGAAATAATTTTAGTTATATTTGCAAGCAGCTCTAGAAAAAACCCATACTCATAAAGGAACCTTGTGCTCTGTACATTATCTCAGTGAGAGGCAGTTTATCATTACTGCCATTAGACTGGCTTTGCTATTTACCATTTCCACATGGAGGAAAGGGAACTCAACTCAGCCTGTTTGCCTGCCCTTTTCTCAAGACCTGTAAGCCACCCTGCTCTTCTTGCAGGTCCTCAAAGGCAGGCAGTTGTTCAGAGAACCCCTGCAGAACACACACTTCTTGGCTCAGAAGTAAAAGTCCTGTGGGCCAGGCAGGGTGTTGAACCATCAGGAATAGTTTCCTGGAGGCTGGATGGTTCCCAGACTGATTGGCTCCCAGTGGAAAGGAGTTTCATGCACTAGTTTTGGTTTTACTTTTAGGAAGTTTTTTCCACTATAGAACTAAGGTAAGAAAAAAGCTTCAAGCAAATAAATCCAACTACATAGAGCAAGCCAGTGATATTTTAACAAACTGATCAACTAGTGATTTCTGGACTCACCTTTTTCCTGACTAGGTGAGAGATGTCTGTAACACACTGAGATGCACCATCAGCTGCTTTTCTTACTGGAATCTATTAAAAGACAAAAATTGACACATGAGAAACAGCAAACACTGAGCCTTAGAGCAGACAGGACTTAACAACATCCATCTTTAACTTACTGTGGACACAGAACCACTGTCTTCACTTTGTGCAAAGCCAGATGTAGTTCCAACCTTCAGAAAAGGAAAAGGAAGGGTGAAAAAAACTGGCAAGGCCATATAAGCTAGGTTTAGAAAGGGACAAAAAACCAACTTCATGTCTTGACACCGTATTCTACACTTGTAGATGGGACAGATGCAGAACTTGAGTCTATTCTCACATCTGGCTGACCTTTCACCTCCAACCCTGATGCATGGAATTGCTAAGGAAGCCTGTCAAATGCCTGTTTAATTCAGAACAATTAAAGTCACTGTATTTACTAAATACCCTCTCTCTTTAGATATCATCTGCCTCAAAGTTTCCTTCTTGGAATTGCAGCCCATAATATTTGAGTAACCACAAGCCCCCAATCTGTGCAGCCAAGTCTGAGCTCCTCCCATGACTGGCTTACTCCAAGTTTAACTGGAAGAATGTTTGGTTAAAAGCAAACCACACAATGCACTAACCAGAGTTGCCTTCAGTGCCAGCTCAGCTACTCTTGCACTCTTTTGAGACTCCTTGGAATCTTCTATCTTTTCTTTGATTTCAGGAAGCAGTCCCTTCAGTTCTTCAATCTCCTTCTCATCTTCAGGGGACCCACTTTCTGACTTCTTTATTCGCTCAGTAAGCATTGCTAGGATGAAACATTTATTATCATAGCAAAAAAAAACCCCAAACTTTTAGGGCAATTTAACAAAGTCTAACTTGTGAAAACTCTCCTGTTCACCAGGCAGTTTTACAAACCCACGTACCCATTCTCTTGTCAATGACCTCCACGGATTTACCGAACTGCAGAACCGCCTGGTCGAACTGGCTGTTGTAGTGGTAGGCCAGGGCCAGCTGGTAGTGGCTCTCAGCCAGCAGGCGGTCATGAGCCTCCAGGTACTTCTGCTGCAGGGACAGGCAGGCCTGAAACTCTTCAATAGCCTGTGAGTAGTTTTCTGTAGGAGAAAGCCACAAGGTCTCACTCGTTTATCCAAACAAGGAAGATCTAAACTCTTACTCAGTTACTCTGTATTTTAATCACCCTTGAGACTCAGCACAGATCCACCTCTGAATACAGCAGCTGAGTTCAGCCACAGGCTGCTTGCAGATGATCAGGTGACAACACTGCCTGCCTCACCAAGGACTGTTTTTAGAGTCCAACTCCTCTAGTTCTCTCAAATGCTTTTTCTCTTTACAGCAAGACAGTAAACTGAGCAGCCAAGTCAACACCAGGCACACAAACCCTGCTCCTTTACCTGCTACCATGAACTGAATACAGCTGGTCACAACTGCAGCTTGGATCTGGAGTTAAGGACAGTCCCCTGCTACCTTCCAGTCAAGCTTTCCCTTGACTGTGTTCCAGTGACCTAAGCTACAGTGCTCATTTTGTAGCCCTGGTCCACACACCTGTCACATCATTTCCAATATTCACTACAGATTTACACTCCACTTGGCTTTAATGAGATTTAATTAATTTTTAAACTGAATAGCAGGTAAGACACATTAGAAGGCAGGAACCTGGGGTCTTGCTTCCCTACTCCTTTTTTCTGCTGCTTAATACAGTCTTTCCTGACCATACCCTAGGATTTGAGAAAGTCTAAGGGTCAACCATTTTCCATTTGCAGTCTTTATGTTCTAGAAGTGGCACAGTACTGATACATCCTATTGAGCTCCATAGCTGACTGCTTAAATAAGGGAAGCATCTCCCAAGTTTCTGAAGCTAACCAAGCCTTTGCTATAAAGCAGAACACAAGGCTGTTTTTGATCTGCTGACACATTATTCTTAATCAAAGCTTTATATCACTGTCTCAAAAAAGCAGACTATCCTGTTTAAGGCACCAACTTGTTCATCCATTGATTCTGAAACTTCTCACATGGCTGCACTATCATAATTAGACAAGTGTTTTGATTTCATCTTAACAGCCTTAACTCATCTCCACTCATTTTAAAGTACAAAACAGAGGGTGACAAAGTGGAACTCAACACTTTAAACATAAGAATTAATATTACATACCAGATTCAATGCTGACTTCTCCTAGCTTTAGATGAGCTTGAGCTGCATGGAGCTGAGCTTCTTTTGTTTCTTGTCTAAATCAAGACAAAAGTAGCTTACAAATTCTGATCAAGTATGTCACATTGACCAGTTACTTACACCAACCCTCCAATTTACACTGAGTTTCTCTAGCACACATCCAAATTAGGACTTAAATCTTTACCTCTTGTAGATGACTTTTGCCAACTCCAGCATGTCCCAGGCTAGCTCCAGATTTCCAATCTCATCCTCCTCACTTTCCTGTAAAGACTAGAAACGCATTAAAGATTGTGACCTGGTAAAGAAAGTGACCTGGTTACATGACATCAAACAACAACACTAAATTTTATGCAGTGTTTAAGGAAAAAAATTCTTCAAAAGGTACTAGAAGGAAAAAAACTAAACATGCAGAAGAGGTTATTGTATCAACCAAGAACCTGCCTGCAGTGAAGATGTTTTAAGTGGAACACAAGCTTACTTTGTTAGTTGATACAGCCTTATTTATTTTTTTTTCAGAAATAACAGGGTGCCAAGCACCAACATTATTCCAAGAATAAGATTGTTTAAAAGTGGTATTTTAATAAACCAAAAGCTAAACAAAGGAGTTGATGTTCCACTCTTTTTAAATATGCTTTTGAACTTAAGTGTGAGGAAGAGACACAGATACTATATTGAAAACAGCTCTCCAGCATGCTCAGTATCACACTCTAAAGGCTTCTGAGTTTTCCAGGTATTTTGGCTGCAACATCAACACACCACCTCAGATTTAAGCAGCACTTCACTTCCCACTAAATTCCCATCGTAGCCATGGCTTACTGCACTGGGTACATTCAACATGCACAGTGAGAACAGCTAAACAGAGAATAAACAAGGCAAAGCAACTCACCCTGCCTGTCCCTGCATTTACCAGGCTGCTTTACGCACCAGTAAATGGCAAGCATTTGCTTCAGCATAGCTAAACAAGCCTAAGTTTAGAGTTTAGCAAGTCCTGACAATGCAGACAGTGAACACAACACTGGCCCTTCCTTAGACAATATTAGTTTTGAAAAAAATTCCTACATAGGCCTCAATGGAATACAAGTGAGCTTTTATAAAGACATTATGACATGACATTCAGACAGGTACTGCAGTCTTCCACAAGCAGCAAAATCAGAGCTCAGCAATCTCACCTTGTCTTCCACTGTCAATTCATTCTCCTTATCATCTTCAGCCTTATCATTTTCTTTATCTTCTTCTTCAGATTCTTCTGTTTCTACAAGCAAAGTAGATAAATGAGAACACGTGCTTTTAATGTTCTTGCTTCACATGAAGTCAGGTAGAATGTGTTATGTCCAGCCCTTATCCTTCCAGTGACAGGTTAGATGTGTGATGAAAGAAGAGCACAGACATTAAATAGTCAGCGGCAGCCATCTTGCTGAAAGTGTCAGGCACTGTAGACTCAAGTAATTACAGGCTACCTTAGTCCTTAAGTTTAACTTCATACTATCTAGAACAAAAACTTACCTAGAGTTCAGTTCTCACCAATGCACTGTGAATTCCCACTGAAGCCATGGGATCCTGAGCAGCCCTGGAGTTACTGGTCAGTTGCTGAACTTCATGCTACAGAGAACAAGTGTTTCCAGCAAGATGGCTGCCAAGCTGTGTACAAATAAGACTGTTTCTGAATTTGTGTTCCTGTGTCAGACATTTAAGTGGCAATGTTATTAATGTTATTGTGTAGCACTGATTTGATTTCTGATACTATGTTGGAGCATTGCATGATCTATTCTATTAATAAGAAACATTTTGGAAAATGTGCAGTGAGAGAGTATGGCTAATAGCTTTAGAGCCACTGCTTGAATTGCATGCTGAAGTCACACACCTAACTACTGGGTCATGATCAGTGACTAATTCCAGAATTACAGGAGCTGGGTGGGGTGGAGACTAGAGAACCCAAGAGTTCATTAGGCTAACTCCCAATAAGCACACACCTACCACTGAGTCCAAATCTGTAAGTATGATGACACTTTGATCAAAGTTAAAACAGGAGAGACGTTAGGAAGTCTGGAATAACACAGCACCAGATCAGGATGTTCAAGAGTGTCCTCACACTAAGAGTTGGTGAAAAGAGCAGCAGTATGTGTACCTAAGCAGCCTTCCACAGGGTGACAAGCTGTGGGTAACTACTCTTATTTTATGTTCAGTCATGCTCTGTTAGGAGCTGCTCCACCACTGTTTAGCAATACAAATCCTTCTGGTGTCCAGAACTATTTAGCCTGAGTTATTTGCCACTCCTAAAACAAGGCTCTTCCTGTAAAGCTCAGTTATTGACAAGCAACATTGCAATTATCAGCTCATCGATTAACTTGTGCAACAGAAAGCACTGGCCTGCTAAAGCCATGCAAGGAATACTTCAAAATGCACAAGCTTTACTAGGTTTCTTTAACATCATCCTAAAAACGGCTGTAGTGAGGCAGGGAAGCAGAATGGCAGCAAAAGCCAGATAGCTGGAAGACTACTATCTAGTAGCAACAAGCCTTCAGGTTCCAGGCAAATTAAGTTTAGATTTCCCAACCAAATTCTTACTTGTAACTACCACCAGACAAATGGAGAGCTCCTTCCCACCAAAAGCAAATTTACTCTCATTATGTATTTAGCTGTTCTTATTTTTATGCTCTACTGTTTTAACTAAGACAACTATAACCAGAGGCAACTTGTGCTTCAAGTTTTTTGAAGGTTAGTGCAATAAACCCACACACATGCAAGTGAACATCCATTCAGTATTCTCCACCAGCCTAGCCATTACGTACACATTTCACAGGGCTGCAAGTTTGCTTTCAAGTAAGATACTTGCTTTGCAGTTAGTTAAAGCGTTAGTCTAGAAAAACTGAGACTATTCACTATTCCTTGAAACTTTACTTGGATGTAAAAATCCTTCAAAAGCCCCTTTTTCTTAATGCCTTTTCCTTAATCTAAGGCAAACAGAAAATTCTGAATGGAACACTTTTTACCCATTGTTAGCCAAATCCATCAAGTCCTCCACCCACAAGTACTTTTCTCCTCTCACTGTTACCTTCTCCCTCTTCCATCAGGTCATCTTTCTCTTCTTTTTCTACCTTAGCACCTTCACTCTCTTCCATTAGGTCATCCTTCTTTTCCTCTTTTTCTACCTTAGCAGCTACATCAGCCTTTTCTTCCACATCATTAGATGGTTCTTTACCCTCTGTGGACACAGGTTCCTTTGAGGACTTCGTCTCTTTAGATTGATCTTGTTTCTCTTCTGGGGCCGTCTCTACTGGCTCTTGTTTCTCTTCCACCTTCTTCTGTTCAGCTATCTCTGCTTCCCCTTCTGCAGCTTCTTTCTGCTCCACAGCAACTGCTGCCTGTGCTTCTGCTGTCACTCTTTCTACTGCCTTTTCTTCCACAGCTGCCTCCGCCTGCCCCTCTACAGCCTCTCCCTTTTCCACAGCTGGCTCTTTTTCTGTTGCTTCTGCTGTCTGCTCTCCTGCCTCTCCCTTCTCTTCCACAGATGCTGCTCCAGCTTCAGCCTCTTCCACAACTAACTTTGCCTCCTTGTCCGACACTGCTGTTCTCTGCTCCTCAGTTGCCTCTGCTACCTTGTCTTCAGACACAATCATCTGCTCTTTTTCCACTACTTTCTCTTCTACAGCTGCCTCCTGTTTTGTAGCCTCTTTCTCCACAGCTACCTGCTGCTTCTGCCCTTCTGAAGTTACTCCTTTCTCTGCAGAAGTCTCCATCTTCTCTTCAGCCTCTTCAAGCTTTAGGTCATTGTCAGAAATTGCTTTTTCAGTTGTTTTTTCTTCTGTGATCTCTTTCATTTCAACATCCTCCTCTTTGATTTCCTTCTCAGATAATACTGGAGTCTCTTCTGTAGACTTTTTGGCTTCTTTTTCCCCCATGGCGTTATATACCTGTTCTCTCAACTCCTCCCTTGCTTCTTCTACATGATTGAGGAAGCATAAACATTTCTTCGAGTTTAGTGATAAAGACATTAATGGGCAACTGACAATACCACCCTCAGACCCTCTAGTGTGTTGGTTTGTCACCAAGTTAGATGACATTCCTAAAAGCTCCACAGTATAAGGAATTAGGACACAACCAACATAGTCACTCCAACTAACCAAGCCCCTTCCCCAGCCTGCATTCTTGCAAGCGGCCGCTCAAGCAGTGTGCAGATTTGCGCGCTAGCGTTTTTAGTCACAGCTAAGCAAGAGGTGCCAGTGTTGTCATTGTCTGGATTGACAGGATTTCCTGTACTATCTCCAGCTGCAGGTCATGTGAAATAGTTACTGCTCTTCCAAATTTTAGAGACACCGACCTGTCCTTCTACACACACTGTACTGCTACAAGGTTAAAAAGCAGTTCAAGTTGACTGTGAAGCTTAAGCAAGCAAGCTCGAATGCAGCGTTTCAGGACAGACACCTGGTGACCCTTTACAGGTGCTTTCAGTGACCGGCTCCTTCAAGAAATTTCAGGTTTTGTTCAATCTTTAAGCAAAATTAGAAACTCTTAACTGCTAAGTGTTTGAACAGAATTATTCAGGCTACCCATGATAGCAATGGACTAAAGTTGGACCGTTTAAGCAAGAAAACAGTTTGTTGCCTCCACAACAGGGCAGAGCTTTACGTACCATCAACAGCTGGTAACGTTGAATCATCTTCAGCTTTTTCTCCTTCCTCTTCAACCTGCACCCCTTCTAAGGCATTTCCCAGCACACCATTTTCCATTCTAAAGGGAACAAAAGTTCATTATCCCTTAGCTCGTGTAGTAACACCATTTTAACTGCACAAGCTGCAGTGCCATGGCCCATCCCACCCTGCATATGGGAACATCCAGTGTAACCCTCTCTATACCAGGGTAAAATTCTATTTCTTATCCCAGGCAGACTCTTAATCAAACAAGCAACTGTTAACCTACCTTGCCAACTCCAAGAGAGATTTTCCGTAGTAAAAAAAAGCTTCTGCACACTCATCCGCTGTCTCACCATATTTTTTACCCCTACAAAAGTAACAGGGAATGATTTGCCTGTGCCTACTTTAGGTTTTGATAAATGAACTTGACAGCTGAACATTTCTGAACAGGAAGAATCAGTTTCTTAGCTTGTCCCCCATTGTTTCAAACAAATAAAGAATGCTCCTCTCACTGAGCTATATGTGTGACTCTAAATATCCAGCAGAGCAAATTAATCTAAAACCCAAAGAAGAAGCACCTTCAGAGACTCATCAAGGCACGAAGCTGCTGTTAAGTAACACTAGCCTATTATTTTTATAACGGGCAACATTAAAACCTAAAAAAATCAAATCCCTTTTACTCCTTAGGGAATTACAGTGACAATTGCTAACACAAAAGCCTCCTAAATTGCACACCGACTACAGTATTGCCCAACACCTGAGTTAATCTAAGTTGTTCATCTTCTCAGTTGTATTATAAATACAGGAGCACATCTAAGGTAAAAATCTCAATCTTTCTTGTACAAACCATATCAGTACAGCCAAGCTAGCAACCAAGACCCATAAAAACAAAACATTCTATTACTCACAGTAAGCTTGCAGCTTCTTGGAATGCATTAACAGCAGCTGGAATATTTCCCATCACCAAGTGTTTCTGTCCTAAACCCAATAGTTTCTTAGATTCTGCATCCACATCCATACTGGAGGGAAAAAAAAAAAACCACAAAACAAAACAATTAAAAAGTAATTAAAATACAGGACTCTGTACAGCTGCATTTCCAGAAGGTCCATCCTAAAGGATTTTGTGTGGTCCACCCATTAGACTGGGACAAGAGGAGCTGCCCAGATGAGTACTACTACATACTGGTCTCATACCTCTTCAGTGCTTCCAGAGAACTAAGTTGCAGATCAAGAGGCTCATAAAAACAGCAGATATCTGTAGATTTATTAGTCCTTGAAAGAGCTATGTGCAGTCTACAGGCAAGTTTTGAGCACCTGGAGCATCCACACCTGTTAAGTTTCAAGCCAAACAACCTACTTGCAGGATGACCTCTTTGTTTCACTCAGTAACACCTGGATTTCTTTAATAATTGACAACCCAGGCTCCCATCTCACCTCTCCGTCTTGTCCGTGGATGTGGAAGGAGCTGCCAATTCCTCTTCCATCCTGCAAGCAAAACATGAAGCGTTTATAGCAGGCCCTCCATTTCCCGGCAGGAACCGAGTGCTCGGGGGGTGCGAGACCAGAGCCAGGAGCCGTGCTGCCCTTCGGGTGTGCAGCCACCGAGGCCGAGCTCCCCTGCCGCTGCCTCTTGCAGAACCCAGCAGTTCCACTTGCCTTTACCGTTTGGATGAAAGGCCGAGCCGTGCGGAAGGCAGGCGCGTTCCCGTTCAGCCCTGCTGCCCGAACCCGGCCCTGCCCGCAGCCCCTGCCCCGCAACCGCCCCAGCTCACACCCACCCCCCGCCAACCTGCGGCGCAGAACGAGCCGTTAAAAACCGTAGGACGGGGCGTTTCGCCCCGCGCTTCACAGCCGGAGCACCGGGAAGGTGCCCGGGGCGCCCGTTCGGGGCCGGGCCG